CACCAACAAATACAACAATAGGCTGGAGTTGCAGAGCATCCCTGGAAGATGAGAAGATCAAGCCCTGGAAGCTGCTGTCAGGGAAACCAGCAGGACTGAAGTCTCCAATGGCCTGGGACTAATTCAGCCCCTGTCTGTAACAGGCGAGTGATGTGGTGGATGCACTGGCTGAGGAGGTGGATTTGCCTGGCACAATGTGCATTTTAATTGCTCATTTTCTTTTTCTTTCTTTTTTTTTTTTTAATGTGATTTGATTGCAAATTATGCTTTCTGCATTTGTAATTAGAATGTATAGCAGATGGTGGAAGCTTTGGCTGAAGTGATGTAGCCATTAAAATAATTCATGTTATCCCCTGATAGTTTGCTGGGAAAGGGGTGTTCTCATGTGAAAATACCTTGGGAGGTGCTTCACTTGCAGACACCCTTCTTAAATAGTGCTGGAAAATGGTGGAAATCAGCAGAGTCCCACTGAGCTCAGCATCCAGGCTACAGCAGAGCACCTAGGAATCTGTTCTCCAGGAAGAGACCCACTTGTCCTTGTGCAGGTGAGTGATGTGCAGTAAAAATGCTGAACTAGAGCCTCAGAACAGTGGCGAATGTTCATCATATTTTCAAAAAAGTGAGGAAAATTCCCAAAGATTTGCTTAAATATAATTCAGACTGACTTTCAGGCTTGTCCTCTTACGCTGGGAATGCTTGCATCCCTTCTGGCTGTGCCACACTTACCTGCATGCTCTGGCTGCTGCCTGGGAACAGTCATGGCCACCTTTGTTCTTTAACACAGCAGTACTGTGAGCCCTTCCAGTTGTAGATGTTATCTAAAAAGAATTAAAGAAATATATTTACAAACATAAGCACAGGTATCATTTAAGACAACAAATAACCAGGAGAAGCGAAATGGCAGTAATTCACTCTCATTTTTCCCCCGATGTTTTTGAATGCCTCAAGTTTTCCTCTTATGCTTTATGATGTTATCACGCTCCTGTCTAAACTACTACCTTAAAATACGTTCTATGGGGTTATTTCCTCCATAAAACACTGACAATAATAATTTCCCCTGTAAAACCTTCAGTTCCTCCTTGCACTGCAATTTTGGATCTGCCAAGCCATCTGCACGTATGGTTGGTGAGCAGGTACCTGCTGTCTCTGCTTACCACAAAGATATCCCTCAACTTTATTAAAATGAAACATTTTTCCTTAAGTTCAGGTATCTATCTGCTGGAGGAGTGAGTGTGGGAGGGTGGAAGGAAAAGAGCCTTGTGTGGTACCAGCCTTAGGGTCTCAGGTAAAGGATTTTTCCAGTCATGTAGCAGCTGAGGCTTATTTATGGGAAACAGTGAAGTTATGAATCCAATTCTTCAATTTTGGTAGTATGCCTAACATGCCTAATGAATGCTCCTTCAGCTCCCTGCAGATGAAGGCAATGCTTGCCCAAGACAAAGCAGCCTTTTCTGCTCCCCAATGTTTGAGACACTTGCATCTAAAGGTCAGGCAGGTGATGAAAGCTACGTGGCCTAGTGCCTATGCTTGGTGGGATGCTGAGGCACACGACAAAGAAGCTGGGCAGCAATTCAATCATCTCCCTTCTTGGTGGTGGAGGGGGATGGAGGCAATCAGTCAGAAGCAAGGTAGGCAGCTGGCAGAGCTCATTCTGCTTTTGTTCAGTCCTGTATCCTCAGGACCTGCACCTGGGGTGGCTGTGCAGGAGACCAGAGGATAGAGCAGAAAGTGCTCAAGGGCTGAGGGAAAGCTCCATTGGTAGCAGCAGTATTTTTAAAGGTTGCATGGCTGTGAGAGAAGAACTGTTCCCATGAAGAATCTTTGGATCCTCATTATGTGAAAGTAAGATGGCAGATTTAGAAATCCTGGCCCAAAGTGCATCTCATTTCCCTAAGTCTGACAACCAGACACTGCAGCTCTCGTCAACACAGGGAGCTGTCAGCATCCCATCACACCTCAATGACCAGCACATGATAACCCTTCATAATTGCTGTCCTAGAGCTAACTTGATGGATGGATGTTTTGGTGCTGCTTTGGACTGTAACCACTGCAGACTCTTCGCAGCAATACAGGTGGGCATGTCCAAGAGTGAGGTTTGCTGGATTTCTTCACTCCAGGGGTTTGCTGTAGGCACACTGCAACTCCAGTGGGGCAAACTGCAGGGGAAACTGGCTCCAGCATTGCCTGAGCTACACGGAGCTCTTCCTGCTGTGCTAAATTCACGCGGGCAGCTGCAGTAAGGTGTGTGCTTTGGGCAGGTGGCAGTGGTTGAGCTGTTCCCAAGAAAGAGGTGACAGAAGCACAGCATGTTGGCTTTGTGCTCGGTAGCAGGTGCTGCAGGCCATGCTTCTTTCATCTTCTGTATCTTGTGCAAATCTTCCCCAGCACTCTTTGCAGGCTGTCGCTCACCTATGGCAACGTCCCCCTGGGAGAAACTGTGCTGGTGCAGATCCTCTGTATGAGCTGTGCCAGGGCTCCCCGCCTGTGACAAGGCTCTGCTTTTCTTCTTTTAAAACTTATCTTTCTTCTTTGCTTTAAAAATAAGAATTAATGTGCTGTTCATCTTTTATTTCCTTTTCATGCTCTGAGCAGTGAGTAATTAGAGCTACATCACACTGGAGAAATTACAACAATATAATATTTCTACAGTTAAATCTGCATAAGTATAATATCTTTGAAAAATAACGAGCTCCTCTAAGAGAAATTAATTATCCCATTGGGACAGTCATTATTCCAAAGCAAAAGAGCCCGGGTTTCTTTGCTCGCTTTTATTTTGAGGATTTCTTTCACTTGAAGTACTGGCCCCTTACTCCAGCCCTTTTGTCTGTGGCCAGAACATAAATAACAATATTAAGTGGTGTAAAGTCTATCCTGGAGACTTCTACAGATCTCACGAGAATATTAAGAATCTTTAAAATGAAGTCCAAGTGCATTTTGCAGATCTGTTTCAGTGCTATCTATCATCACTGCTCATCCACTGGTTCAGCCCGTCACGTCTCATTTTCCTGGGTTAGTTCTTTTCTTGTGAGTTTCTGCTGCTTCTTCCCAGGAACAGGACTCCACTTATCAAAATAAGCATATTATCTATCATAATATTGTCTACCCACACTCAAGTCATTATATTTAAGACAAGACTTCAATTTTTGGATGGGATGGCACAGCTGCACACTGTGTGCCTGCATTCGACATCTGCACGCAGCCCTTGGGAGCCAACCTGCAGACCTGGCAGCAGCAGGCATGACTGCAGCCATGCACAGCACATATGGCTTAAATCACCAGCTAACATAGATGATTGTACGAAGGTAACTTTAAAAAAAAAAAAGGAAAGAAAAAGCAACAGAAGCACAACACCTCAGTGCTTTCAACAGACTGCGTCTGGTGGGCTCTGAGGGGCTCTGCCCCAGCAACCAAAGCCTGCTGTCAGTTTTCAGGTGTGCCTGTGAGCACTTTTGCTCTTAAGGTGACTTGCAAGGATTCTGGTAGAATCCCTGACAGCTCCAACTACTCTGTTAGCCTTCGTTTTTCTGCTGGACCTAATCAAAGATACTGTTTGTTAAAATCCTATTGTGTCGGTAGCAAGAACAAGGACAAGCTCCTCTGTGGTGATTTAACACGTCCGACAGTTCAGTGTAGAGATTTATTACAGCCAGCAGAAAGTGCAAACATGCAATGCCCAAGTCATTACTTTTAATTTGCCATTTCTTTAAAAGAAATGTATACACAAGGCTAAAGCCCAGGCCCTTCCTTACAGCTCAGTGTAATCTCTTGTCAGCCAGGGAACACAGCAAAGCATAAACCTGCGCCCTTCCCTTCAGGGACAGGGAGATTTAATTCCCTCAGCCTTTTAAAGGCAGACTATCATGCTCCTGCCACACAAGTTTTCAGACTAAAAACTGATCTAAAGCAATGGAATTAACCAAGCCCAGTGGTTTAAATTACCAGTCTGCCTTGGATCCTGTCTGAGAGGTTATGGCAAAAGCCCACAGAAGTTAGCTAATTAAAAAGATTTCCTTTCAAAAAAATTTTATTAAGTTGTCAAGGACAGTACCATAATAAATACACTTAGCAGAAAGCTAAGTGAGAGAGCACTATTAAGAAATGCCATGATTCACACCCCTCTTCCCCCAAGCTCTTCAACTGCTTATCTAATCATACGTCATAATTATTTGCAATGATGTTAAAACTCTCACACAACACAGTTGTAAGTCAATTACAAAAATGGCTTTAACAGTTAGAGAGAATAAAGGCAGTGTGTGCTTTTCCATCCTACATGGATGGGGCCCATAGCAGCCTGCTCTAGTGGGTGGCAACTCTGCCCCCGGCAAGGGCTTGGAACTGCACGCTCTCTAAGATCCCTTCCAACCCAAGCCATCCTGTAATTCTCTGATCTGCACCCAAGAGAACAAAGCCCTGCCTTAGCTTGCCCACTATGAGCCAAGGTCCACGTCTCAAACACAACCCCACAGCAAAGCTGCTCTGGGAGAAGAGAGCATCATCACCAGGTGTACTGCTCTGCAGCCTCATCCCTGTTCCTGTCCAGAAGGCACGGAGCTCATCCGATTGTTCCACTCGTTGTGCCATGGGAATCACTGATGGATTAGCTGAAGGCTGATTTTCAAGCACAAGAAATTCTTTGGCAACCAACAGAAGCCCATGATTGCTTTGGAAATTGCTGAGGCAGATAACTGGTATTACAGAGCTGCGCAGAGAGCTTGTGCTACTTACATCATGGCTTAATTAGTTACTTCTGATACAGCAATAGAAATGGCTCATATTGCAAACCACCTCAGCCCCCTCTCTGTTTTCAGGTTTGTCATATTTGTCTTTTTACTGTACTTTTTTTTACTGTATTTTACTGTAAATTAAATTTTACTGTAAATTAAATGAAGCAAGGGGAGGAATAATACATATAATTTGTAGCATCAGCTCTTGGCAGGATCTCAGGCCGTACCTCCACTGCACTCAGTGCCACCATCCATGGAGCAGTCACCAGGAGCCGATGGGGAAGGGCTCTCTTTGCTCTGAGGGTCTGTGTCCTCTTGTCCTCCAGGCTGAGCTGATGCACTGAAATCCTACACGGCCTTTCCTGTAAAAGGCAAAATGTTGTTGTTGTCTTTGATTATGTTTTGTCTGGAAAAATTGCTCTGAAAACAGCTTGTGCCTGTGATCTCTGGACAAGTTTCTCCTGTAATTCTGTTGTGACCTTTTCACTATCCTTCCAGGAGTATCTTTGAAAAAAGAAAGAAAGAAACCCAAACCACAAAGTTGTAAAGAGCTGTTTTCTTTCTTCTACCTTCAGAGACCTTTTCTTCCTCTCCAGAAGCATATACCTTACTTACAGGCTTCAAATCCTACTGCAAGATTAGAAGAAAATGGCCAAAGCCATGGGTGGCAGATAGCTTTGGGCAGAGCACAGGCAAGGTACAGTCTCAAACCAGTTTGCATTAGTGAGCAATATGTATTTTACCTGTGGGAAAAGTCACACTTAAATTTCTTTTCAGTGTGATCCCTGCAGAAGTGACAGATGTCTGCTGAAGCAGGAATTAGAGGGAGTATGTGAATGTGAAGAGGAAAAAGCAGAAAGAAGCAGCCTGGAAAATGAGCTGAAAGACGTCCCCAAATATGAACGCACTAAAATCTTTGCTCCAGATGTCGAAATGTTGAACACAAGCTTACAGGAGATTTAAGAACACTTTTCAAGTGCTATTGCATTATACAACATTTTTCTTCCAGACCCAGGTCTTGGAAAAGGAAAACTTTTGAACAGTATTTCATTTTCTCCCAAAGTGAAAAAGGTACATAATAAAAGCTTCATAAGATCACCTACTCTTATAACATACTTGTTTCCTCACAGGCCGTATTTTCATCAGCATTCCAGTGCTGAGTGTTCACCCAACCCTTGGCTTTTGTTGCCAGCAGCAATATACAGCAAAGCAGACCTTATGTTTGGTGTTTAGTGCACTCTTAGGCTTCTAACACGCTTCTTTAGCAAAGCTGCATGCAACCAAGTTTAAAATACCACCACGGCAGGAGCACAGTGAGTGATATCAAAGTGACTGACTGACCAAGCTGCAATAACTGGGCACGTTTTAATGCTGCTTAACTACTAAAACTCAGGTAGCTACATCTGTACGTATGTATGTATGTATGTTTGTTTTTTTCCCATTTCTTTCCTGATTGTAAGGGTGTTTATTGCAAAACACTGTAGGGAACACATTTCCCAAGCACATGCCTGACCCACACGTTCAGTTTTCTGAAAGCCCACCACCTGATAGTCCCACTGCCAGTACATTACGTGCCTCCAAGCCAGACTTAAAGCTCTGGTGATGACACAGTCACTGGTATAGATAATTTGGTTCCTAAATGTTTTCTTTGTGCACTGAAACAACATCTTCGAGCAGTTTCTTAAATGTCATTTCTTGCACTACACAAAGCGAGCAATAAACAATAAAATTATTCACCTTGAAGAAACCATCTGCTGTCATTAAGGACATCACCACTTTTTTCTTGCTTTGAATGGTCCTCTGAGATGCTCTAAGTGTCATTAAAATGCTATGTTTGCCGTTGTCTGTGTGCCAGACTCATTTTGCTTTAGAAACAAAGATGATGATGGGTACAATAAGCAGAAATTTCATTCTCTATTAGTTTGTGTATTTCATCTATTTTGTAAATGTCTTTTAAAACGCTTGGCATTTGGACATATTATTTGGGAGCTGCATCAGAAGCACTAAGCTCTTGGATGTGCGGTGCTCTGAGCGCACTGCTCTGACCCAGCACCACGCTCTGCTGGGCCTCAATGCTCACTCTCTGCTGGCTCAGTGCCTCCCCCACACACTCTTTCTCAGCACCAAGCTGACCTTTGCGACGTGCTGTGCAGAGCCGCTTGTGATGCTGAACTGCAGCAAAGCATGGTTAAAGTTAATCCAGGGCCATCTGTCTCCATTTTCCTCATCTACTCAATCATAGATGGAGAGGACAATGTCATCTGGAATGAAGGTTTAGCTCCCTTCCTCCTCCACACTCCTCCCATGCCTGCAATATGCAGGTGCTCACTTCTTTTCTTGGATTTGTTCCTTACAATGAGGGCACGCCTGAGATGGCAGTGTGTCCCTGTGCATTGGGAGATCCATCACAGCCTAATGAGGATTTGTTGCCTGTTCCCTGGGTCATCAGTGCAGCCCGAGTGCTGCAATGGTCAGCCAAAGGCATGCAGAGCTGGTGCAGCTCCCTGCCACTCATCTCCCAGTCTTTCTTGCTTCTTTAGCTGGTTTCAAATGGAAAGCTCAGCAGCTCCCCCCTAAAACTCCATCCCTGCTTCATAGAAAGACTTGAGGCTCAAGGCAGAAAAATGGTTCAGGAAAATCCATCTCAAAACTGGCCTTTGCTGTCCAGGACAACGGTTCACAGGAGGTGAACTGCCCTAAAGACACAGCAGCAGCAGAATGCCTCCTGGAGGCTGGAGGTACTGAGGGCCTGGGGGGGAGGTTCCCAATAAAGATCAGTCTGAAAAAGGTCAGGTAAAATGCTGTTTTCTCAAAAGAACAAAAGGTTGATAGCTGCATTCAGAATAAGGCTGGGAAAAGTAATGGGTTTTAAAAATAAAGCTTTCTTGTTTTAAATGCTACATAGTCGGGGACATGTTATTTTCCTCCTAATGAAAGCCTGGAAGAGCAGATCATTGAGACAATAGGCTGTGCCATGCAGGATTCAACTTTAGTTGCAAGGTTGTAAGGTTTATTTCTGGAGTCTAAATTTATGATAAAAAACTTTCCCAAACGCAGCCAATACAATGAAAGGCAATCAAACACTAAGAAAAAGCAATCAGATTGAAGACAACCCACTGTTATTAATATAGCTGAAACCAAAAGCTAAGGTCTGTCAGCCTTAAAAAATAAAATTATTTTTTTCTTAGCTCCACTGTCTTTAATTGTTCCTTCTACCAATCGAAGCGTTACAAAAATATAAAGAAAACCTTCAAGTCAAACCGAAGCTTCTCTTAAAATGAAATGCAACAAAAGCTCAATAAAGGCAGCTTGGGATTCCAGTGACATCAGTTTAGCTGCTGTGGTTTCTGATGTCACAGCATCCTTTGATGGGATTACTTCTGCATGTTTCATGACCCATTCATTATCGTACCCATACTGTAGACTTCATATTACAGTCAACAATAAAAAATACCCTTGGCAACCTCCATTACATTCTGCAGTTAATTTGTGCTCTCGCAAAGTGCTTATATTTACTATGAGTGATAATCATACATATGCATGAGACCTTAAGTGAAGGAGAATGTGCTTAGGAGCCAGCACAGAGGGAGTTTTGCCTCGAAGAGATGTCAAAATCAGTTCACTTTTGTTACATATGAGTAATTTAATTTCTTCTACAGTGTTATTAGGGCAAGAATGAAGTAACATTCTTTGGCATAATTGAAGCAAATCCCAGCAAGACGAGAGGATAACAAAACCTTCCCATCTTGTCATGTCAAATCCTTACCTCCTCTGTAGGGCATGCAGACACATATTCTCGGTGTCAAATTAAATTATCCCTTTAAGTTTATTAACTTGTTATGTCCCACGACCTTTGGTATATTTACCGTTGGATCTTTACATTTCCTTCTTTCTTTAGTTTACTCCCTCACAACTGACCTCATTTTTGCATCAGATCAGAAATAGTATTGGCATTCAATCCTTTTTCAGTGGCTTCTCTCGTTAAATCCTTCAACATCATCTTCATTTCCAGTACTCCAATATGCTACAAACAGCCAAGGAGTCTGCACAAAAAGATGCTGGAAGCTTGATCTCCCCTTTTCCCCTACAGCTCCTTCTGTAGCAGAAGAGGCTGCTCAGAGCCCACGGGCTGCAGCCATGTCAGCCCCATGGGACACGAGTGCAGCAGCCAGGGAGCCTGGGGCAGGCTGCAGCAGAACCGTGCTGCTGCTGCCTCTCTGGGTGGTTTCATTGATTTAAAGCTGCCACGTCCTCTGGAGCAGAAATCAGAGCTTTTTCAACGTGACATGCAAGTCATAGGAAAACTAGTTATTTGTAGGATGGACGAGCCATAGCAGCTAAATCATGCGATACTTTGTTGTTTCTGATTTTGCAGTATTTCTGATGAAACCCAGAGCAAAACTTCTGTGGAGTAGGTAGCTTTTTTCATTTTGTAAATGAGCATCCTTCTCAGCTTCACAATGCAAGTACCAACAGATGGCTGTCAGGCAGGGTTTCTCAGTGGGTAAGCCCTTGTAACCTTGCAGGCCTGTGATCACTTGGATGCACTTAGGATTATTTAAAGCTTTGAATTTATCATATTCGGCTTTAATGGGAACTGGAGTTGACCAATGAAACAATTTGTATCTGAGCCCAAGAAAGGCAAATGTTACGTATGACAGTGATCCATTTCAGGTACCAGAGGTGGACAAGTGCTCACTTGTATCCCTCCTGCTTGCTTTCTGTCCAGTACATCCAGTACAGTCTGAGAACAGAACAGTCTGATATTTGATACTTACCAAATTTGAAGCACACACCCCTTGGAATGCTCCAGCATGGCAAAGGCATATTTAAATGCTCAAACTCCTGCTATCCTTGCTCGAGATCTTGAGATTCAGCTGTGCTCTTCTGTTACTGCCATCCCTCCTACCTCATCTATAAAACAAGAACAAATACTATTTATGCTCCTGTGTAAAGCTCCTGAGAGCATCACAGGAAAGGCAGTGTGCATGTGGATTTATTATTGGGTCTATTTATATGATGAAAAGTAGAAGGACAACACATAAGCAACTTCCAACAACTCATTTTTGCACTGCTTAGCCTGAGGAGGTTATTATGCACAGTTGCTCCAGAGAAAGAAAGCTTCAGTGCTCTGAGCAGAGCATGCCCAAAGGAAGAATGCACTAAGCACCGGGCTCAGGAAAGCCCCAGCTTACAAATCAGCTTATCTCACCCATGCACAGGGTAGCCTTTTTCACATGGTATTTTAAACAATCCTCAGCTTGTGAATTCCTGAATCTGTGAGATAAAAGTAAGTCATCATAGGATGAACCTCAGCTCCCTAGAACTGCCTAACAGGAATGGAGAGAAACAAAATAAAGGAGATATTTTCCAGATATATCTGATTTATATATCAGGTATATCTTGCAGATGTTATATGTCTCATTTATCTTATTCTTCCATTTTGTATTTATTTTTAATTGCCCCCTTGAAATGTAACTCTCACATATCTGAACTGCGTGACTAATAGAGAGAAGTGGCAAATAGCTCATTTACAGAGAAAAACAGTAAATACACTCTTTAATAGAACAAAATAGAATATCAGCAAGTTTTACTGACATTTCTTGCAGTGATAAATCCACTGTACCCAAAGCAGAGTAATCAGTGGAAATCAGTACTACCCTTTCTTGGACTTAATGGGTGCTCCACCTTTAGGGATTAGGTGCTCTCTCCATTCTTCAGCCTTTCTGCAGAGACATTCTGCTGGCCCATCTGCCAAGCAAAGCGAAGGGAGCTGCCTACCTATGGGACACTGAGCTGAGCCATGGAGCTCATTCTACATTTACTGAAGGCAGACAGGAGATGAGTAGAGCCACTACACCTGGATCCATCAATAACATCTCAGTTAGAATTGTACTACTTGCAATAGGCTTACAGCACAGCTAGGTCTTCCTGGACTTAGTCAAGATAGAATAACACTGCACTGTGCCTTCATTACTTGCATATAAGTTGATGCAGTGATACTAGAATTTTTAAGGCGTCTTTTTATATCTTCTTTTTATAAAGATATAGGCACCTAATCTGATCTCTGAATCACACAAGAGCACCCACAGGTAATGGTCATGGCTACATGATGCTGGAGTAACGCAGCAAATGCATAATTTGTGATTGTGCACTGCAGTAGACTACAGTTGGTGAAACTGTAAATGGGAACTCTTGAATTATTTCTCTGCCAGATATGGGATAAAAAATTGCCTACAGGCTGGTCTAGGTGAGGCTGCATTAAGCTAAGCTGTAGATGAAATTATTGTTGTATTCACTGCAAGAGCTGCTATGACAACAGATGAATGCTGCAGGTAATTTAATTACATTTCTGCCAGTCTCTCTGCCTTTCAGGAGACAATGCAGCAGCCAACAGCATTTTCTTTTAATTTTGCAGGTGGCACAAAAATCACATGTCAATTTCTCCTCCAGAGGGCCTAACAAGAGCATTTCTCTTGAGTCATGAAACATTATTTAAGTACCTTGAAGGACTGCTTGTGCTTTCTCCCAGCATCTCCAATCCAGCATGCTTTCACCCCACAGTCTCAGCAGTCGCACTGCGCAGTGACACTTTGAGTCCATCCTCTTCTTTGCAGCCGTACAACACTCCCGTGGGCTGAGCCCTGACAGCAGCATCTCCATTTGCACACCGAAGATAGAAATGCTTCCACTGAAAACAAAGCAACAAAGCCCAGCTCAGCCCAAAGCCAACAAAGCCCCACAGAGCAGAGGCACCTTCGTGACCAGCTCGCACAGTGCCAGAGGACAGCAGGATGCAGCAGCGGGTGGCTGCCAGCAAGCACTGTCTCCTTCTCCACAGCACAGGAGATGATGTGGGTCAAATGGGAGTTTTAATTACATGACAGAGTTTTTAATTAATTCTGTTAACTCTTGGAGGCATTTCTCCAGCAACAGCAGAAGGAGGGGAGGGGGGGGGCAGTCAGTGCTCCATGCTGCGCCTTCAGTTGTGCTCCAGCAAAGCATCCTCCTGCCCTGCCCCTACCCAAGGCACTGGGAAGAAATAAATGTGTGAAAATCAGCGTTCATCCAGCAAAAGAGAGCTGAGAAAGCCACAGTGCCGGGTGGCTGTCTGCATCCTGCACTTATCTTTCATGTCTCAGGTGTGTTTTAAATGAACACCACTTTATCATATTAATGGGAAAAAGTGCTAGGGGAAGGAGGTGAGAAAAGTTCCTCTGTGATCGTGAACTGTGCAGCTGGTGAAGGAAAACAACCGCTTTAAGGACAAAGTATTGACTGAACGAACAGGGAGAAGTTAATAGATATTGACTTGCATTTGCTGTAAATAGGTCACAGCACACCAGCATGTTCTTCTCTAAGGCATGACGAAACACAGCAAGTGCCACAATGGGCAAACGTTTAATGTTACATACATGACATTCCCTGCTACAGAGACAGTATTTTCCCATGCAAAATCCCTGACATCTACAGAGCAGCACTGATGACATTGGGAGTGGTGAGAGCTCAGCTTGGCTTGAGCACTGATCTGCAGCTCCCCAAATCTGCACACAAAATCAGTCAAATAACCCTTTAATTTACATAAATTAAAGAAGGAACATCATAATTATCTATCGTTTATCTGCGCGAGGAGAAATCCTTCCATACCAGAGCGTAAATTCAGTCACCATGCAATTAACTCATAGTTACATGGCTGCAGAACAAATGTGCAACAAGATTCAGATAACATGTGAAGGCGATAAGAAATACCCAGGCAGTTCACTAGCATTAAGGAAATTAGCCACACCAAATTAGATATCAATGAACACACTTACTACCATTTAAGTTATTATTCTGAATATAAACTGAAACTCAATTATCTTTACAGTGCTCTGACCAACCTGTATTAGAAATGCTATGCACTGAAAAGGTACAAACTCACTGCCTTCTTCTCGACAATCCCCCTGGAATGAAGAGAGAAAGGTGGAACAACAGTGAAGGCAGTGTCAAGGCACTGAAGGGAGATCCTGGGAGACCTGGATGCTTTCCTGATCTGAGCAGCTTTGTGCCTCCATTTCCTCCTCTGCCGTATGGAGATAATTATACTTCCACTATGAAGGGCTTTGAAATGGCTCTGATGAAAAGTTCTACAAAATGCCAAGTTATTACTCATGCTCATCCATCAGGTTTGGTGGAGTGCTGGCATATTTAGTGAGCATGGGAGACACGGATAGTTCATAAATTCCAATTCACGCTGGATTCTCTCAAAGGAATAACAAAATAAAGGGTGATCTGATGAACAGGCAAACAAAGGTTGAATATAATTCATGAGTCCAATGAATGAAACACCTCTGAAGTAGCACCTGACAAAATTCCCAAGGCGAGAAGAAAAGCGTGAAGAAAAGCATCACTGTGCCTTTTGCACAGACCATCCCCAGAGCTCCAGGAGGGAATAAAAACTGGGATGGCAGTGTCTTCAATTTAGGGATTGTGCCTTCTTATATCAGGAAGCATGAACCAAGGATAAATTCACGTGTATATAAATATATAGAGAGAGATATACGTACACACAGCTAGAAAGAAAAGGTCCATGTTAAAGCTGTCAGAGTAACAAGTTCTGCTTGGAGGCTTTGCAAGCTGTTCAGGTCCTCCAAGTGAATTCCAATAAAAATTTGCACATCCACCATGCTGTTCTCTACTCTGAACACTTCAGAAGTAACTTGGGTTCATTAGCACTATTTTTCACATCTTTCAACTGACACAGCCAAGTTCCCTTGGCAACACAAGTCAAAATGCACAGGCCTAGCATTAGAAAAAAATATAATTAATGCATTTTGAGAATGAATAAAATTGACCTAAAACAGCCTTATTTTATATTTGCAATTTGAAGCTTTAACATCTTGGGATTCTCAGAACCTGCAGCCACTTCTCCACATCTCACTGAAGGGCTTGGCTTTGTTCTCAGTGGTATTCGGTTCCTGGTCCGGATGCTCAGATGAAATAAAATGGTTTCACTCTACTGGCAGGCGATCTCTGATCAGCACAAGATCTCCCCATTGCTAAGGACACAAGGCTCACTGGGCTTCTGACTCCAGCCATGCCTTTAAGTCTCCATTCCCCCCTTCCTACTTCACCTGCTGGGATCTGGCCTTGAGCAATCAGCTCCATTCATGGGGAATCATTAAATTCCACCACCTGTAGACACAACCACTCAGGGTCTCACAGCCCTCTTATCATTCCCACCATCTAAAGAAACAGCAACAGTGCTTTCTAGAAAGCCAAGTATCAGGTATTAGAACAAGAGCAACTCAAGGACTGCTGTTCCTGGCTGCAGGAAGTCTCATTTGTCACAGATCCTGCTAAATGTCATTCTGCATCACTCTGTCCCACCACGACAGGTTCTGATGGCAAACTCTTTCCTCCTACGGCTTTTCCCCTTCTTTGGAATTATTAAAAATCATCACAGCAGCGGACATGACAAAATGTGACTGGAAAACCATTTCAGAAAGGCTACACGAGCCCTTAAGCTAACAGGTCATCCCGCCGTATGTAACAACACACCCAAAGCTGTTCACCCAGGTCTGCCAGACTTTCCACATCGCCTTCCTCCCAGCACACGTAGAATCTAGGAAGAATTTTCTGGAAACTCTAGTAGTGCACAGTCTTTCCCTCTGCCATCTCTCCTGATCAGAAGTTCCAACAGGATCATTCAGAGTGTTTTGATTTGTCCCTTTGAGCTCGCTGCCTGGCATCCTCCCACAGCCAATTCCTTTAAGGATTTGTCTTTCTCTCTGAGGCAAAGCAGACATTTTGGTATGTGCAACCAGCCTGCTTGGTCTGCTTAATGAAAACATCAATAAAGCACAGACTGGAAAAGGAGAGGGAGGTACACAGTCATTAAGACCTGTTATTAGTGATCTGCACAATGCCACAAGCTTTTGTACGTAAGCAATTAATACAGCAAAGAATACCACGATGAGATGGAGAAACCTCACTGAAACTGGAAAATGTAACCACTGCCCTCCACTTATGGTAATTAACAGAAGCGGTTAAGCACCTTCACGGAAAAAAAAAGCTGAGATCCTGCTGCAGACACAGATGTTGCCCCTCAGTCCCAAGAGAGAAATCTTCTTAAAAAGAAGCCATCACCACGAGAACAAATGCCAGCCCAATCATCCATCCAGATCTGTACGCCACCAACCCGCCTTGATGTAAATACTGGGATCACAGAAGGGTGAGCATGACATTTACTCCTACTGATTGAGTCAGCAGGCAGAATATAGAGCCTAGATGTCACAAGAAGGGGGACAGAACATCTCATCTGCTGCTACACAATTAACTCATCAAGAATTCTTGAGTGCACTTCAGTGACAGGTTGAGTTGACACAAGAGCAATGCTTCTCTTTGTATTTTTGACATGCATTTCAAACCCCAGTGCTGGATTTACGGGAAAGTAAGGCCATAGTTGGAGATGGGTGTTGGTAGAAACATGGGAATGCTCCGTCTAGCCACAGAGGGAGCCTGACTCCACAGATGTGACCACAGAGGCTTGGATTCCTTGTTTCTATTTTAAACCTTTGCTCCCAGATACAATTCTTCACCCACTGGTTCAGAACATTTTGCAAAGTTGAGTTTCCCCAAGGAAAGCACAGTCTGCAATAGTTTTCCCACTATTTGCTCGTACACACCAGTTACCAGCAACTTTTCTAATAACTCATTGCTCATGCAAATTAATTCAGCTTAGAGAAACAAGTCTTGATGATTATAAAACGCTGCAATCACAGTATTGCTTCCGGCCATCTGAGAGTAAATTCATCAAGCATTTGATATTTAAAGCTGCCGTGGTGATGAATGCATGCCTTCATTTATGACTGTAGACCAGAGAGAAAACAGAATACAGAAAAATGACTGCATGATGGGAATCCCAACAGAAACCATTGGAGACAAAGGCAGAGATACGAAATGTCTTTCATAACCAGCTGAACGTATCTTACATGCAGCAACTCATCCTCTCTTATTTAGCACAGACCTATTAAAACAGAAGCATCAGCAAACAGCAGTTGTACTCAGCCAGAAGCACTGTGTGGTGTTCCTGTTGACTGTATCTGATAAAAACCTTATTATGCCAAGGTCAAGGACAGCACACAGAAGGAGGTGTCTCTTCTGCCCCTCAGTACACATGCAGTCAACTGTTACGATTATGGATGTTCACTCTAGGTGTGCAGAGCATACAAAGAGGAGGATGAACTCCTCTGAGGTGTTGATAACAACCCTGCTGTTGCTGTGCATCTTGTTCTGTATACAGCATTATTGTGAAAACAAAAGGAAAGCGTACTGAATAGTAAATACCCATGATTACATTGCACTAATTGTTTTCATGGTGTCCCATGGAGTCAAAGTTTAAAGCAACGCTGTGAAATACAGAGAAATAGTGACTCCACTGTTACTCACATTAACGGCATCAATCACAATGAATTATCTTAGTAACAAATGTGCAAGAGCAGTGAAAGATGATTTGAGGCAGGTCATGTCAGGCTCATATCACTCCCAGAGCACCCAAGCTCCTCTGCTGGCACTAGGGGCATTTCCAAACAGAACCTTGTTCTGCCATGCGAAATAAAGCAGCAGGATCTGAGAGGCTTTTTCCCCCACTTGCTCTCACTTTGTCCTCCAAGCAGTCACAGTACCTTCCTGCACCCTGC